TTCTTTGGACAACTGTCCTTATCCAAAAGTAAATGAAAATCCAATAACTTTATTCCGTACAACGGTGGAAGTCCTATATACGTAGTTGACAATAGTCTTATATGATGACTCTTATGGTTATCTTGGACTTTCTTGCCACGTACGGGTACAATGGTAGATCGATCATCGATCACAAAGCAGGAGGGCAACGGAAGTGATAGGGGGCACTTTGTTGCTTATCTCTGACAATTATAAAAAAAAAACTCGACCCATGGACAGCCCCGGGCGTTATATATAAGAAGAAGACCTCCTCACGTAGGTCGAGAAAACCCACAAACCTCTGCTCCACCAATACACAGTGACACCGCAACTCTCGTGAGACTGGGCTGGGCTTAGACCTGTGCTTTGGCGTGGGACAGACGAGAGGATTTTTTTCAACACATAGATAAACTGTGTCTCCTCCGACCAATAAATCCGCCCCCGAGAGGGTTCTGGCTCTGTAGGTCAAAAAAGAACACGTGATCGTGTTATCTCTCTCTCCCTTTGTAAAGTCACAGACAGCTGCAGAGGTAGAACTTGGTGGCATCGTCTCATTTTCAAACAAAAGACAAGCTGGTATGCAGCAACATGCACTACTTTAAAAATAATTTTAGGAAAACGACCATTTTTTATTTTTAGAGGCAGACAAAGAATTTTGGTGTCTCCTAAAATCTATAATCAATTTTTGAGGCACCCAATCTATTTTAGATTTTTAGGAGGCAATTTAAAATAGCCTATCTCTGGAAATTAATTAATATAGCCGGCCTCTTAAGAGACCCGCTTCCGAAAATGACGGGCCTATTAATAGGTCAAGCCCATTACCAATCTACGTGGCCCATCTCGGCCCGATACCAAACTAAGAGTATATATACGCACACTTTGGGTTTTTTTCCATCCTCACCTTTCTCTCTCTCTCCATCCACCAGAATACCGGTCGCCGCCACCTCTTCTCTCTGTCTCTCAGAGACCGGCGTGCCTCCCCCTCCCCCAACACGACCACCGTACCATGCTCCTCTGGCCCTCTTCATAGGACTAGGATGATTATTCCATATAGAACTAGAGGAGTTGTCCATGCAATTGCATGGCTAGCATAGAGTTTAATCCATGTGAAAGTAGCATGTACTAGTCCATCCCTGCATGGGCTATGATCTTTGCTGACATAAGCACGAGAAGTTCGTGTTTAATACCTACAACTAAAAAAATTTATGTACCTTTACACACGCTCTCTCTCTATTCATTTTCTAACATAATACAAATATAGCTACTCCGCAATCTTAATATTTATCTAATTATGATAAGTTTATCAATATATGTTTTTCCATTTATATCCATATTTTCCCTATGCATGGCATCTCTGTATATATTTGTCCTTGAGTTTATCCAAAAATTACAAGGAATCTAAAAAATGTAGTCCCCTCCGGCTCCTCAGACTGGCCCACCAACAAAAATACGTATTTGCCTTGAGTTTACTAAAAAGTTACAAGGAATTTGCCAACCCCCCACGATCTCCCCCATGCACCCACGATTTTCGCTCGCATCGTTCCTCTTCCTTGCGACAAGAGAGCAACCAAGGCGTTCCTCGCGGCTCGGAAGGGCCATTGATGGGGGGCATGTCTGCCCTCCTCAACGATGCTTTAGGTGGTGGCGCTGGAGTGGCCCTGGGTGGCAACATGGGCAGTGGGCCTTGTCGTGGCACCGGAGGCGGAGCAAGCGGCCCTCGTGACGCGAGGCGGGGCGTTGGACAGGGCGGACGACGTGGAAATGGGCGGCCGTGGGGTCTTTGGCATAAGGATTAAGGAGAGAAACGAAGAATAAAAAAATTAAGGAGAAAAAATAAAATAAAAAAGGATATTATGGTCATTTTGGACTTGTTTGGCTGGCTGGCCAGCCCACTCACGCGGGCACTGTTCACACGAACCGTGTTTTTCAACCAGAACAATATTTTTCTCTCACAACAATTCAGCTGGAACAATATTTTGGCTTATTCAACCCGCCTGCCGAACAAGCCCTTTATTCTCTTTGTCTACCTTTTGAAGTTGTTTTATCAAACGCTCTACCAAGACAACTTTAGCTTCACTTGTAAAGCTATTCGTGGAGCGGAAACCAAAAAAATCTGCTCCATTATTAGTGAAGTGGAGATGTTGCTGAACCTCTTTCAGCTTCTAAGTAATTACCGCGATCCGCGAGCTCTTTCTCTTGGGGAAATCGTTGAGACGACCTGTCGAGGCTATGGCATATCGGGCCATCCGGGAAACCACAGAGATACTCACGCTGTGACGCTGAGTATATGGTCTCTCTCTCTCATGGAGTAAATAAATTATAATGTCAATCGAAAGTTAAAAACTAGAAGGTCATCATATATGTAGTTTCTTATATCTATAGATAAGCTCGTATTGTCGAACTGTGTAACACAAACTTTTTAGGTGGAACCGCGGAGGCATTTGCGTGTGCCGGCGGCCGGAGCCCGGGACCTTGGTTTTGGCTGCTACGTGGCACATACAAGGCGTGCTTCTTTTGTCGACAAGTGTCCTTATCCAAAGTAAACTGGAGATATCCAATAATGTAAAACGGGTTCAATTCTGATGACAGATTCACACTCTTATGGTCGTGTTGGACTCATGCCACGCAGCTCTCGGTCACAAAGTAGGGCAACAACGGATGAAGTGAGGGGGGGGATTAGGGCTGGATATCGAGCCGGCTCAGCTCGGCTCGGTCCAATTCAAGCTGGCTCGTTAAGCGCTCGGCTCGGCTCGGCTCGTTAATATTACGAGCCAGAGGCTCATTAGCGAGCTCGAGCTGGCTCGTTTAGCTCGCGAGCTGCTAAAAAAATAGGACGCACATGTTTATAACGTTCATGCCACAATAATTTCAGAAGGTGACGTCCACCATTATGTAACCATACATGATTAATACATATCAGGTTCATCAAAAGTACCAACCATGCAACATAGCTGATCCATCCATGATCCATACAGTTCCAGCATACTTACTAGTTGCTTGCCACCACAGACTTAGGAAAGTCTACAAATTCAATGTCAGCATCATCATCTCCTCCCTGAAAAATAATCCATAAATCAACATTTAAGTACCACAACAATTATAAAATCAAAATTCATATGAAACAACCGAAAATAAGGATTACATATCAATGGAATATGTGCACTTCTAGGTCAGCATCATCATCTTCTGGATTCATGGTCGTGGGTTGATAGGATTCAGCTCGTTTGAGCTTGTGAACGGCTTGCGAGCTGGCTCGAGCTGACTCGTTAAAACAGCGAGCTAGACTTCCAGCTCAGCTCGTGAAAAAATTAAAACGAGCCAAGCCGAGTCGAGCCAGACACGAGTCGAGCGAGTTTGCGAGCCACGAGTATTTTGTCGAGACCTAGATCTGATGACCGGCAATTATATGAATCTGGGGAACATGCAGGTCAAGAAAGCACCCATCGTCGCGTTATCTGCCACGACTTTATGGATATTATTATACTGCAATTTCATGCCAAGGTGGAAGAAATTGGGAGCAGGTAGAGCTTGGTGGCGTCACCTAATTATTTCCAATCAAACGAAAATTAACTCGCAAAGTGTTTTTGACCAACAGTGAATGCACCTGTCTCCATTGTTCTTGTAGCATTCTTTTTTTCTTAAAAAATTGGTTGTAAGGAAACATATCTAAGGCCTCCCTCGGAATGCCAGATTTTCTTTTTCCTAAATCCAACATTTTTTTCTTTGAAATTCGTATATAATCTCATGAAATTCTTTTTTTTTTGGTCAATAATCTCATGAAATTCTAGCATTTCAAACAAGGCCTAAGTATCTAACCTGAAGCCTGGAATTCCACCCGTTTTTGGCGATTCGGTATGTTTTGTGTGCAAGCCAATTTGACAGATGATGTTTAACAACCGGCAGTTACCAATTTGATAGCAAGCTTGATAGATATACTAGTAACCGTAATAAATACAGGTATGGACGTCAATTTAATTAGTACACTGTACACTCGAAATTTTATTGTGAAGACATGTTTTAGTTAAGCTTTGTTCAGAGGCCTCTGCAGTTGTGCCCCTGGGCATATGCTTCATGCCTGATTGGGTACTTCTCATCCAGTGATGTACATTTGCACAAAGTTTCAAAGAAAAAATGTACATTTGCACAAAGGTAAAATCTTGTACGGTCCCCTGCTTCCAAACGGCGAGACGACCATTTATCTCTCTCTTTTTACCCTTTTTTATAAAAAAAAATTAAAGAGGTAGTATAGTATATGAAAGAGAGTTCGTCCAGAAACATGTCTGTCATGCGACAAAGTTCCCTGGTTCTTTGCCTGCAAGCTGGAGGCATGTAGCTGAAAGTCCAAATGAAAAACATCTTCACCAGTTTTCTCCGAGAAATGGAACGGTAACCGTCGCTGAAAGCCTGAAACTCGGGTGCAAGGTGCAAGTGCAAACTGCAGAGACGACGCAGCTGCAAAGCAGGAGGACATCTGGGCATCATCCAAGCGCCCCCACACCACACCTGCCCTGCCATCGTCCATGGGAGCGGGAGCTGGAGCTGGACCCTGTCCAGGCAATAATGCAGACCCACCATTATCTACCAGCCATGAGCCATGAGCCATGGCCATCCCTTGTTGCTTCCTTCTCTTCTCTTGGTCTTGGACCAAACCGCGGCAACAATCAAATCAACCAGCATGAGCAATTGAGCATCCCATCCGGCAAACATTCTTTAGCTGCTGGGTGTTAGCCGATAATGAGATCACCCAGTGCCATTAGGCTCAGCTCCGACCATCCTTTTCCGGGCCTTTAAATACGTGTCCCATCTCCACCTTCTTCCAACCAGACTTGAGACAGCCAGGATAGTTCCGCTTCCACCACAAGGCGCAGCTGCCCCCGCCCGCTAGCTGCCTAGCTCCAAGTACCGGCCTCCCTCCCTCCTCACCTGACCTTGTCCGTCCAGCTCCACGGTCGGTCGCAGAGAAGAAAGACAGAGACGAAGCAATGGCGACCGAGAAGAAGCAGCAGGAGGGCGCGGTGGCTGCCGCGACGACGGAGCCGAGCGTGGCGCGGCGGCTGTGGCGGGTGGTGCGCGCCGTGCTGTTCATGCTGCGGCGGGGCCTGCCGTCGGGCCGCAAGCTGGCCATGGACCTCCACCTCCTCCTCCACCGCGGCAAGATCATCGCGGGGAAGGCGCTCGGCGACCGCTTCCTCGCCTCCCACCACGGCCACGGCCACGCCTTCTCGTACGCTTCCGGGGCCAGGGCCAGCGCGGCGGGCGGGCCGTTCTCGTGCGGCGCGCTGGACCCGAGCCTGGCGGTGCACGAGCCCTCGCGCAGGCGGCGCGAGGTGGAGTTCAGCTGCAGCAACACGCCGTCGTCGGCGTCAGGCGGGGGCGCCCTCGGCCTCCTCGGCGCAGCCGCCAGGCGCCGGCGCCGACGCCGGAGCAGCCGCCAGCAGCAGCAGCAGTACCGGGACGAGGCGGAGGCTAGCAACGGGTACCTGATGCAGTACTACTACGACTACGACGCGGCCGAGGTGGCGCGGGTGTTCGAGATGCTCAGCGACGAGGAAGACGGCGACGACCGCCGACTCTTCAGCGACAACGCCGTGCCGGTGCCGGGCGCCTCCTCCTTGACGCCGTCCCCCGCGCAGGTGCATCTGCTTCGTCTTCCGGCGGCCGCGGGCAGCAGCAGGCCGGGGCAGCAGCAGCAGGCGTCGCGCATCGCGGCTGGGTCGTCGCCGGCGGACGGCGGCGCTGCCCAGGTGGACCGGCGCGCGGACGAGTTCATCCGGCGGTTCTACGAGCAGCTCCGCGCGCAGAGGAGCGCCGCGTCCACCCCCGACTACTACGGCTACGCCGGGGCCAGCCCCTACGGCGCGGCGCGCGCGCCGCGGCCCGTCACCGCCAGCATCTCGTAGCTCCCCAGCAACACTTGCGCTCGCGGGCTGGCCGGCCGACGGGCATCGATTCGACAAGGACGCCGCCGTCCGTGGTCCGTTCCAGTGTGTCAGCCAAGCTGCATGAGCCCCTTCCTCGTGTTCTCTCTCCCGGGTCCCGGTGCCGGCCCTGCTTCTACGCCCAACCCAACCGCTAAAATCCACGTAACCAGCTTAATCATCGTCTTTCTTTGCAAGTAGATAACGACAGTGGACACACGGGTTTTTCTGTCCCTGCTCATATGGAGTTCTAGTACACAATATATTAGTAGTGTTTGTTACCATCTTGTCTTGCTTATATAATCTACTACTTATTGGTAATTCTGTTGATTCACTAGACTAGCTTGTACAATGAATGAAATAAAAGGAGTTAAAATATGCGGCATTCGTTATTAGGAATAACAAACAGGGGCAATGTATATGCCATGTCGCACGCAAGTGATTTGAAGAAGCGCATGCAAGCTAAGGACAAGCGGCCACCAATTTGGTTGGGATTTTGCGCGGGTACATGTAGTGGGCACACTGGCTTTTTAGTACGTTGGTTGTGGTGTGTCGGCTCGGCTGGTACACCAATATTCGTTGGCGCCCGGAATGCGGAATCATATCATATTCATATCCGTCTCCATCCACCAGTCGTTCTTTATCGTATGGTACATGGTTGTAACCTGTGTTGACTGCGTACAAGAGGACGGACGGACGGACGGGTAGCTGCTGGCCTGCTGCTAGTCTTCGGCCCTCTTAGCATGCTTTTAAACTCAGTTTGATCCATTTCTTTTTTATTCGAAACAATATTTTTCTCTCATAAATTTCTCCAGTATTTTTTCCAACCATCCAAATTTCTCCATAATTCCTCCGAGGAATAGGCTCTTCGCGTTGACAGAAAACGTCAAACGTTACTACGTACTAGTCACAATAAATCTCGATCTTGCAAAGTTGTGCGATTAGCTAGTTTGCTGTACAGCACGTACGTTCTGATACTAGCTTTGGGATCTGTATTGATTTTGATAGATCCGGCATGCCATGTCTCTACAGTACTATACAAGTCTCATTTTGTTTCTCAACAAAAATCCCAACAAATTAAAGTTTCCAGCGTGCATATACTGTATGTTGTGACCTAAGCTAGCAATACAAGGTCGGTCCATGGCGCGTTTGGTTTCGTCAACCTGACAACCAATGGCTCCATTTGCTTCGCTGAAAAAACAAGCTGAAACATTGTTCTGGCTGATTTACTGTGAGAGAAAAACATTGTTCTGGTTAAAAAAACAAGCTGAAAAGTATGGATTATAAGTGTGCATGCTGTGATGCTCATAGATTTAATTATTTACTGCTCCCAATTATGATTTGTGAGATCGCAAAGGCCATTTGATCTGATCCAGGCCACACAAATAAATACGGAGTGTGCAGTGGAGTGTACCACTCTGGCATAGTACGTGGCATCGATCTCACATCTGGCAGCGCAACGCCACCACAAAGGAAACAGCGTGCTCTTTGGTTTCATCTGTGCATAATAATACACTAGTAGCAGTAGTAGTAGATCGTTTCCCTGGTGGATGGGCCATGGGCCATCCGAGTTGGGACAGATTCAAAGCCCGACCACGCGGCGGTGCCCCGTCGGCCTATGACATGCGGGACCACCCGGTCTAAATCCTAGTTACGCCATACAGTACTTACTAGTACAATTAAGCTTAGGTTTGTTTGGCAGGGCTTCTCCACCATCTTTAGAAGCCGTTTGGAGTCGTTTTCTACTAAACGGGATAAAGTGAAATAGCTTCACTGGTGAAGTTCCTAAAAACATGCTCTCACAATGATTTGGGGTGGGATGGAGCTAAAAAAAATAGCTTCTCCCGGCTCCTCCTCCAGGTCCCTAAAAACATGCTCTCACAGGAGAACCATTTTGTCAAACGGTTTACCAAAACCGCTTCAGCTCCACCGGTGGAACTGTTCGTAGAGCTGAAAAAAAAAATAGTTTTATTGGTGAAATGAAACCCTGCCAATCGGGGCGTTAGTGTTATCAAACAGGGTAAGCTCACTTGCAACTCATGTTTGGCTCCTCCTATTCGAGATCGTCTTGAATTATGAACGCACGAGATTGTCGAGTCCAGCTTTAAGCTCCGACGATTGGATTTGGCCCCTAAATTAGCTGAGCGATGGAGGGCGACGGCGGTGCTGGTGCCGGTGCCGGTGCCGGTGCCGGTGCCGGTGCCACCACGTACTGTCCTCTGCTCCTGCCGTTTGAACAGGTCGTTGCATACAGGCGACCAAGCGCTCGCTCTTCCCATCCCATGGGCCGAGACGGCCATTCCCTGCCTCACTCTGAGCTGACGAAGTGATATGCGCCCTGTTACTTATAAGCCGTATTTTTTTTTAAACAACAAATAATATTTTTTTCTTATAATAAATCAGTCAACAGTATTTTTAATCATGACTTATCAGCCAAACGAATAGGGCACGTGATCCCATCAGGAACAGGGTTGATGCCGGTCCGTGACATGCATGGCATTGGCATGACTACATGCGCTTGGACTTGGACTCGGAACGGACCGGTGGTAGTGGCAGACCGGCGAACAGGCTGACGCGATCGCTGCGGCGTATACGAGTACTACTATACCACGGGCAGACGGGCAGTCGGCCATAAAGCTGGCTGGCTGGGTACGTACTGGAGTCAAGCCAAGCTTCACCTTTTTCCGCCCGGCCGATGACAGGCTACGGCATCTTTACCAACTACCAACAGTGCTACATGTTCCCCTCCATGGTTCTCCATGGTTCCATCTACTTATCATAGAGTAGGAGCATGCCCGTTACTTTGGGATGGGTTCCGGCCGGGTTCAGCTCCTTCATCAATTCATAGATGGAACAGGGTGCATATATTTGGTACAAATATGCACCACGGTGTCGTACGCGAGCGGATAGCCATATACATATATAACGATTTATTTCTACCGCGTTCGACCACAAAAACATGTGAGTAAAGGGTCATGGATCGTTACACTTATATAATGATTTTATGGGGGTGTTGGTACATTTATACAGGGAGGAGAACTCCCTATCCCCACTCATAGGCTTTAATTAAATGGTAAAGTTGCCCTCATAAAAAGCCCATTAGTACTGTACTAACAGATTATCATTATATTTTAGACCACTTATGAGTTCAATCCATAACGAGCATGATTGCCTACTGGGTACATCACCAACATGTGTGTTTATTGTTCTATGTAAGATTTGAGGCTTAAATTTCACCTGGTTTAAAAAAGGGACATATATTTTTTTATGAAAAATTCAGATCTAAATGCAATACATGTGCCAAATATAAAACCGATCGAATTGAGACCTCAAATATTGTGTGGATCGTAACATGTATGGTCGTCTATATATAGGTGCGGTGCGCAAAGGTTGAAAATGTTCGATCCAGTCAGTACCCACATGAGTTTCGCAAAAAAAAAGTCAATACTCACATGAGACGGGACGGAAGCCTACCGCTCTGAACAATTCAACATCACATAAAAGAGAAGGGCCACTGAGGCCTGGTTCGGTTGTTCCGGAATAATGAGGTCAGGATTCGTTCTGGAATAATGAGGTCAGGATTCGCTCTGGCTATTCAATCACTATATAAATTAGCCTATCGTTCCATGTGGAAATCTTACATGCCACGATTCCGATAAAAACGAACGGGCCCTAAGCGAGTAGCGACCCAGTCCATTTCCATTCCATAATAACACGTGAAGCAACCCTCGGGTTTCTGGTTACCGGCCGCGGAGACGAGGGGCAAGGTTTTGCGTTTTCGCTAGCCCTCTCTCTATATATGGTGTACGTACGGGCAGGCGCTGCGGGCATGAAACAGAAACACGGAGCTTGGCACCATGCTCAGGACACTCGACCAGCCGGTTTCAAGCAGAGTGAGCACGACCACGCCATCTACCATGCATCTACCGGCGTGGTGGTGGCGAACACGTACACGACGGATCGTTGATGCCTTGCTGGTTGGCATGTACAACGTCGTTGACTAGATTCGTCCGAGCTAGGGGTGAAAACGGTACGGGTATTTTTCGACCGTATTCGAGACCGAATCCGTTTAGAGGGGTTCAAATCTGTCCGTATTCGAATCCGGATATTCAACATCCGATACCGTATCCGCATCCGAATACTCAAATCGCATATTTATGATGTCGATACCCAATTGTCGGATACCATAAAAAGGGGTACCCTAAGCAAGAACCAAAAAAATTACTTAGACCTTGTAAATATCGAAGCCAAGAGACAACCACGAGGCCTCGGCCGATTCTCCGATTTGCCCGAGACCCACGCCGCAAGGCCTCGGATGAGGTACCAACTCTCCGCCTCGCTCGAGGCCCCGCCCGAAAGGCCTCGGACGAGGTACCGATTCTCCGCCTCGCCCGAGGCCGGCTCGGCAGCTACCCCGTCACCGCCGCCTCGACTGAGACGTCATGTCCAACTAACGCAACCAACCACTCCCGCAATGTCATCCGCACGACGGCATAGTGCAGCGGAATAACCGACAAGACGAAAGTCGCATCAACGCCCTGCCATCCGGGACAGGATGGGGCGGGGGTTACCGGCCGCTGTGCTCGGCACTATGCCCACGACTGACGCCCGTACTGCACTATGCTGCCTAACCCCTACTCCAAGGACAGCGCAGCGTGGAGAGTCAAGTACAGGTCCCTATAGCCTTGGAATCAACGAACAAGACCAACTGCTCCCTCTGAGCCTCGGCTATCCGCTTCCGGGCCCCTGTAGCCTCGGGACTCACGCCCGCCGAGCCCCCCATGATGGCCCAGCCTCTGCATCGATTGGGCCTCGACTCTCTACGTCGTCAGCACTCTGGGGCCGGCACGTCGCTCGCAGAACGCGTCGTACCCTACGTCAGGCTGCAGGAGCTCCCACGTCACGCACAAGGCCTAGCTCCTGTAGCCTCGGAATCAGCATACCCGCACCATCACATCAACCCGGCCTTGGCACTCCGCGCT